AGAAGGAGAGAGAAGGAGAGAGAAGGGGAGGCAGACGGACAAACAGACAGACAAAGAGACAGATAGACAGACAGACAAACAGAAAGACTTAGATAGATAGATAGATAGATAGAGAGAGAGAGAGAGAGAGAGAGAGAGAGAGAGAGAGAGAGAAAGAGAGAAGGAGAGAGAGAGAGTTAGTTCATGCTCATGAACATGCTGTTCGTGTACTCTTGTGTGAGTGAGCTGTGCATTGTGTATCATTGTGCACGATAGTTATATTGCATTTTTGTGTTGATGCTGAATCTTTGTAATTTGAAGTTTTGATACTATATCCACCCAAAATCTCTTTAGTGGTCAATAAAATTTATCATATCATAATATCTCAACTTATCTTGATGGATATCTGGAAATTTATTTTGTTTCTTTCTTTGTTTTGTTTTTGTTTGTTTGTTGTTGTTTTTTGTTTTGGTATTGTTTTGTTATTTTTGTTATTGTTTTGTTTGTTTGTTTGTTTGTTTTTTAGGGGATGGATCAATTAAAATGTTACAAAAACAATAGCAGTTGTCAGGTTTAGTTGATTAGAGGAGATTGGGAGATTGTTTTTCCACATATTATAATATATTAAAAATATACGGATTGCACTAGTTATTCTATTGATTTTACTTCATTCTGCATGTGAATAATCCATGGAGGTATGCATATATTCAGGAAAACCCCAGTTCCTGCTGACGTGCATGACTTACATTATTATACACTGAACTGGTGCAAATGTTGGCGCTTAGGGATGGCTGACACATGCCAAAAACTGCATCGTCTCTCACAGTTCACATTAAAAACAACAACAACAACAACAACAACAACAACAACAACAACAACAACAACAAACAAATAAAAAACAAAACAACCTTGGCTTACGTTAAGATAATTATTTTCCTTAAAAGTAAAGTATTCTGAGTTGACGTCCATTATAACGTAAAGATGTTTTGAAGTTGATTTTGTACATGCCTGAGGTTTTCAACATTGGTACGTGCATTTAATTAGAGCACAGTATTTGAGTAAAACGTCGTGTTTTCACATTTTATCATTAACATTACTTCTGGGGTATCCTTCATACTGAGGAGAACATAATATGCACTAAGTATCCAGTATCTCATTTTCTTCTCTGTAGTCAATGGAGATACGAAGCGGCGCATGGTCCAAGTTATTAAAACAGAAAGCGCTGAAAAGAATCATATTGTCAGTCTAGAAAGTTCTGTCGTATTTTGCCAAAGTGAAGTAATGCTTATTTAATTGTGTTTCAGTTTTCAATATGTATCAGCATTCGAGTGCTGTTTTCTTTTGGTTGAATTTTGGTTGTTTCCATTTCCTATTCATTTTAGTCGCTCAAAGTGTCTTTGCTTTAAGCTAGTGCTCAAGATTTGTATTTTTCAACAGACATATTTTCGCAGAGCCCAATATACAACCGAACCAAAAAAAAATCACCTCCAAATTTTAGACTAGATACGTACCTTATTGTAAACTAGTTCACATTATTAAATAATGCAAATCCACTTCACTCAAAAGCTCAAGTCATATTGATCTTTTAACTGTAAAACTCGAAACATGAGGGTCCGTCTATTGTGCTTGATTCCTTTGTGAACAAAGGATTTACTTTCATACGATGAAAGGGAATGGTACTTAGTGATATAAAGGCAAACATAAAACCTTCAGACTTTCAAAAACAAGTAAGTTTTTGCTGAAAAAGGATAAAAGTCTTTGTATTGTGCGTTCTGATATACTGACTACGATAAATGATTGTAACAAGAGTACTGAATAAAAAACTTGTCTATAAAACAGGAAATAAGAATACGGTTAACAAAAAGAAAAAGAACTTGTGCTAGATAAAAGATTGCAATTTGTCCATTTTGGACTTACCGGTCACCTACAATGCACCATGTTCTCTGGAAATCGAGCAATGACACTGTGGTCATCAACAAGGATAGAAATCAAGCTTACCGTTACGATTAAAGTGGGCTCTGAATGCTTTGTTTTCTAAATCCCTTGTGGAACGGTGTAACTTGACAAAACCTATCATAGTCATCATTCTATTCCTTCTCGTCTTAGTCCTGCTCTTCGTCCTCATGCTTGCCTTCTTCTTTCTCCTTCCCTTCATTCCCTCTCGGCCTCTATTGATTTTACTCTTTCTTCCCGTGTCCCGATATCACTCCACGAGGTCATAGTCTTTCCGGGGGGGGGGGGGGGGGGCTCTGGTTGGTCTAGAAGTTAAGTGGTTTGCCTGCTCTCTCTCAGTAGGTTACGAGTTCGAAGCCTGACAGCGACGGAAGTTTTCCTTACTAAAATGTTCTCCTTTCACCTTCTTTCCTGCTCTCTAACCATTTTCTATCGTCTGCTGTCGGCCCCAATTTCTGCCCCCACCCCTCCCCCTTTGCCCCCTCCTCTGGGCTGCGACTTGTTCTGCAGCCTTGCTTCTGCTACTCCTTGGCTTCTTCTTACTGCTGTCTTTCAGCCACACCCTTGGTATTATGGTAGGTAAGATCTAACAAAAGATACTTCTTGGAAAAGGACAAAAAATCTCGGAGGTCCCATGTTCAAGTTGCGTAGGTTAAAGAATCTCTTACATTCAACTTGTAGTGCTGTGCAGAATCTGGATCATAACCCCCATGATCAGTAACATCGTCGTTATCAGTACCACCAAGAAAAGCAGCAGCTACAGTAGCTGTAGTAACAATACGGAGGCTGCACTAACTTCACCTTTTAGATTACCTGTTTTTTTTCGCTTCAGATTACTGAACTGAAAGCATTGATTCATCTAATTAGGGAAAGAATTCAAGTTGTAAGCGTATTGAGTGGAATAAGATCAGGAAATATAATCCGAGTAAGGGCCTTCATGTCATACAAATTACAAAAGTATAGTGGGCTTTACGGCTTACAACCAAGTGTTCCCAAACGTGAGATCTAGAAGAGAATGGCATTTTAACACGGATTGAGGGCGCGGTGGGCTTTTTTTTCTTATCGAACCCAAGTCTTTCAGGGTAATGAGATGGAAAAGACAGAGGGGATTATCTGTAAGGGTGAGGCATATGAATAAGTATTTTGTTGCGATCTATAGGCTTTGATATCATGTCCATGACAGTTTGCAAGATAAATGACTTTGTGTGAGAGTTGGACGTGCTCAGTTTCTGACACTTTTAATAAGGGTAATTAAATTTAAGTGCATATTATTATAATAACCAATTTTTCCTCTTTGAATTCTTGGTCACGTATGGACAAATACGAACCCGCTTTGTATGAGATTGACTTTGAGATCTGAGGAGAGGCCACATTTTCCTTGTCTATTTGGAGTTCACCTCTCCGTACTGGACTTAATAATAATAATAATAATAATAATA